ATTCTCACAGACAAGATCCTCACAAAAATCATTGGCTTGAAGATACCTGGCCCAATTTTAGTTTTTTGTGTATAGGATCATCTCTTTTTATTTTATAGCAAATCCTTGTTGCTTTCTCAAAGCATCCTGGGGCGTGGTCCCACTCGCAAAGAGGATCGGACAGAATGCCTGAATCTGGACGTGTTTGTAGAGAGGTCCAGGAAATCGAGATTGAACTGCTTTTCTGCATCTCTGCATAAAACACATCCAGATTCAGGCATTCGATCCGATCCTCTTTGCTAGTGGGACCCCGGCCCTGTATTTCAGCAGATAAAGATTACTTTAAAGTTCTGAAGTTTTTTTTTTTGTTTTTTTTTTTTTTGTTTTGTTTTGTTTTGTTTGTGTACGTGTGTGTGCCAAATGTCGTCTACACAAGGTGGCTTGGTGAAGCTCTGGATGAATCCTGACCATTCATCTTTTGGTCACAGTTCGTTAAGCGGCCTTCCTCCGCCCTCCTTAAGCTGCACACATTTTTTTTTCTCACTCCCCCAGCCATCCAGTGCAGCAGGGCCCAGCAGTGTCAGACAATGGGTGACCGAACAACCGACACCCTTATGTCCCACAAGCCTATATGCGCACCACATGTCCCCCCCCCCCCCCCTTCCTCCCATCTCCTCTCATTTCGCCCATTTTGTGCTTCCCCGTCCTTACGGTCTACTATATCTCAGCTAATGTTACTTTTTTTTTTTTTTAATCAGCTAATGTTACCTAGGATGCCCATGGTGAATATATATCAGCAACCTGATGCGTCTCACGGGCAAAACCATGGGGAGTACAAGCATGTTTATGTGAATATAAGGATTACTAACAGCCATTTCATCAAAATGGACATTTTAAAATGATTTTCTTTTATTTTTTGAACGAAATTGAAACCGACTAAATTGGCCAGAAAAATGTCAAAAGTTTTAACTCTTCAAGGTCCAACGTTCTTAAAATGCTGGACCCCCTGGATGTATCTGGACTTAGCTGGAGTCCAGGGGGTACGGCATTTTAAGAAGGCCGGACCCTCAGGAGCTAAAGAAAAAATTGACATTTTTCAATGATTTTGGGGCCAATTTAGTCGGTTTCTCTTTTTTTTTTTTCTCCTTTTTTTTTAACAAAAAAAGTTTTCCATTATATTCCGAAACTTTGAGGCAGGGGTCCTCACCGTTTGAACCGGGGTTATCTCGGGAGCACTAGCCAGTTTAGCTTATGAGCAACAGCTCACCATTGAGTCCCCAAAACCCTTATCATTTCGTCTGTATCCCAACTGCTTCCTTGTACGCACTCCTGTCAGCCACATGAGCTGTCGGCTATTTCTGAGGCTCTAGAGCGTTGAGGCAGCCCCGAAGCACTGTTCCTGCTTGCTAAACCCTGAACCCCTTTGGCCGTTTTGAAAGGACCTAACTCTGCTGCTTAAACCACCACCACCTCCGAGCCTGTTTTTGCCGACCCTGATTTTCACTGCGCACCGAGTTTCGCCGAGCCTGGGTTCCGTTTTGTTTCTTTTCTGGTACTCTCCTGAAAAGAAAAGAAAAAAAAGGCACGGCCAGACTTTCGAAAAACGACCCGCTTGCAGCCACAAATAAATAAAGGAAAAAAAACAAACACCCCTCTGGACGTGATACCTAGCCCAAAGTCGTTGTGTGAGTATGCCGTCAGTGAGGGCGTTACGACAAGGGTGTCAAATTGAAACTGAACTTAGGCCGGGAAAGCGGGTTCATACATTCTGCAAAGTAATAGTGTGGGCATGCCCTCCTCCACAAAGTGTCAGCAGCCCGTGGACCGCGCCGTGTCTTCCTGGCGGGGCACCAAAAGGTCCAAAACTAAAAAAGAAAGAAAACAAGAAACACAGACAAGGAAAACCTGAAACTGGCCACTATAGAGGTTAGATACGAACGTGCGAGTTTTGGTGTGAGCACAACTTGGTGCACAGCCTTCCCCGACATGATCTTTTGTTTTTCTTTTTGTTTTTCGAAGGGGCCCACAAGGCCCAACTGCCGAGCCTCGTCCAACCCCCGAAAAGTTCGGAAAAGATGTGAGAACAGCCATTTTTGAATGATTTTTCCCATTTTTCCCAAGAGTGACAGAGGCAGTGGTGTCGTGATGGCTCAATGTCACGATGACTGAATGTCGCGATGGCTCGATGGCTCAATGTCGCAATGGCTCAATGTCACGATGGCTCGATGTCGCGATGGCTCACATTGAGCCATCGCGACATTGAGCCATCGCGACATCGAGCCATCGTGACATTGAGCCATCGCGACATATAGCTTCCCGCGGGAGTCTACTACACGCGCGGCTTCGCGCCACGACTCCGGGCGTGGCTACGGCGGGAAAGGAAAACGGATTGAGAAGTGAGGGAGGTGAATGGCTACGACGGGCAAGGAAACGAAGTGAGGGAGGGAATGAGGAGAAAGAGGAACTAAGCGAGAAGAAGTCTACGGGTGTTTCTGCGGGACGACACTACACAAGCAGATTCGGGCGCATTTTCCAGCTAACTTTGAACTAAGCAAGAAGAACGTCTACGGGTGTTTCTGCACATCACACCACGCCTCCGGGCGTGGCTACGTCGGGCAAGCAACCAGCGTGTGGGAGGTGTTTCTGCGGGACGACACGTCATACCACGCCTCCGGGTGTGGTTACGTCGGGTAAGGAAACGGAGTGAGGGAGGTGTTTCTGCGGGACTACACGTCACACCAAGACTCCGGGCGTGGCTACGTCGGGTAAGGTAACGGAGGGAGGGAGGTGAATAAGGAGAAAGAGGAGCTCAACGAGAAGAATGTCTACAGGTGTTTCTGCGGGACGACACGTCACACCACGCCTCCGGGCGTGGCTACGTCGGCCAAGGAAACAGAGTGAGGGAGGTGAATGAGGAGAAAGAGGAAATTCTAGGGAAGAAAAAGGAAAGAAAGGGGAGAAATGAGGATCTAAGAACAAGAAAGGATAAGACAAGCTAAGAAAGACGACGAAAGAGAGACGGGGGCAGATCCTACCTAATATACGAGATGAGCAAGCAGTAATGAGACACACAACGAATCATCACGCGCGAGAGAGGACAGCGGAGCACAAGCCATTACTCCATTACCTGCTATATTAAGGTTTGAACAGTCCTTCGAGGTTATCCTAAGGTAAGTTTGTAATCACTCCCGACGAACAGAAGAGACATCAAGACGTCTGACAAGTACTCGGGCAAGCAATCAAGAGGAGAGGAACGACGGAATATAAAACGGGCGCAATTATTGGTAGTAACTCCGTCCCGAATCCTCATTGGAGTAGGACATTCCGACTCGTAGTCAAGCTCACAAAAGTAGCGAAGACTAACACCAGTTGTCTCTCGCCCTAGATAGCGAGAACAAACGGACCTGCCCGCTTTTATCAACGGTCCCAGTGCACCCCCATTCATCCTTTCCTACCTCCTTCATCACGAGAATCCAAACCACTCACTTAGATTACAACGCCAGCCCAGCTATTCTAGCCTCACTCATGAATCACACATCCAAAACCACCTACCCCCTTCCCACTTGCTGTCTCGTCATTAACCAGAGCCCCGCAAGAATCCAAGGGATCAAGCAAATACAGGGTGTTTACTTTGAGTAGCTATTTACTTAAGCACTATTGACCCATGTGCATATTTTGTCGATAAAACAGTTAAGCGCTGATTCTTTAGTCCAAGTCCGAAAGTCTATTTCCACTACCGTATATTTTTATTTTATTTAAAGCAACAACAGTATTAGCCTGGGAACCACAATAATAATGGCAGACTCCTATTGTAAGGCAGCACGAAGGGGGATGGAAAAGGAAGACAAACCATCAACAGATCGACATCCAGGACCGTCGTTCACGACCTCCCAGAACTCAACCTCACCTTCTCAGACTCCATCCGAAGGAATTCAAATCTCCATTGCAGCACCGAGAAGTCTGGGACAGAGAGCCATTGAGTATTTGATGAACAAGACAGAAATCAAAGCTGAAATCATCAAGACAAAAGAAATCATCAAAACACCGCAGGCGAGGAGGAAGAAGTAGAAATTTGGGAATACCCGAAAGAGCAATTGCAGTCCCTAAACGAATTATATGAGAAGCATGTCGTACTCTTCAACTTCACGAACAAAAACAGAGATCTACCACTGAATGAGAAGAGGAAGTGGGTCATGGACCGTCTGAAAGAGTTGGAAAGCATTCCCGGAACGGAACCGGACGTTTCATATCACAAGAGAGGGAGGTACACAGTAATGGTTCTGTGCGTTGACCCAACGTACGCCCGTTTTCTGGTTTCCATAGGAGCATTGAAATGCAAAGGATCGGTGGTCACGATCCAGGCATGGAAACCACCCAGGGAGCCACAAGCGGAAGCATCCAGACATCGACAGACAATGCTCAGAAACCTTTTCTGGGTACAATTCGACAATTTATCTGAAGGCTTACACAACTTTGTGCAGAAAAGGCTTTAGGAAGAGTACCCCAACAACCCAATCATCGATTGGTTGCCAGCAAACCCGGAATTCATGGCCCCGAACCATGACGCAAGAGTGGCTTGCCTGGAAGTATCATCTGGGACATCTCCAAAATTTCCAGATGTTTGGATATTCAGGAAAAATGGACAAAAACTAAATGTGTTCATTTCGACGAAAACAAATCCCTTCTGCTTTAAGTGCAGAAACGAGGGACATCTGGGAATGCACTGCCCGCTAACCGGAGAGACAGGAAAGAAAATCACACTCAAACAATCAATGTTGGTTGAGTGTGATACAAAGCCGGGGGTGTGGTATATCAACGACGCACAGTACAGAGGATGGGTCTTTGATGATAACTTGGAGATTCCAAAATGGGTGTGGGTACTCCAAGGAGAGCCCAAACTCAAACCAGACATCTACCCACCGTATGAGAGTAGATGGAGGGCAGTAGGAGTGAAGAGGATGGAGGATAAAACCACTGGCTATCTAAAACAGGAAGTAATTGGAGAAGTGAGCTTATTGGATGAGAAACAAAGACTGGAAACAATGAATGAGCTCCACACAATCGGACAGAATGCAAAAAGGGCTTACATAGAAAACCAAAGAGCCAGATTCTCATCAGATAATTCCCAGCACTCAACTTGCTCAACACCGAAGGCCTCTTCAGCTGGCAGAGAGGATGGAAGCAACGTACTAATGGACAGCTCAATACCGAAGGCCTCTACCTTCGGTGGAGAGGATGGGAGCAGCATGCAAATGGACAGGTCCCTTAAACGGAAATCAGAGGAAGCGGCAAGTGATTCATCTCGAGCACCCTCAAGCAAGGGGAGGCAAAGAGCAGTCGGACTGGCCAACGCACTGTCAACAAATAGTGACACGGGGGATAGCAGGCACAGCAGAACAAGTATGGATGAGGACTCTGCCCAAGGATCAGGGAAGGATGTAGACTTGGAAGGATCGCATCACTCTCCCCAGCCATCCACTTCCAGCAAGAATCGGAGCTCAGAAGCAAGTCGGGAAAGGAAGAGGACCAGATCGGAGAGCGGTGGGAACCAGAGAACAGAAGAGGAAGACGCAGATGGGGAAGATGAAGAGGATACTATGAAGGACACAGAGAACGAGAGCTCAGAAGAAGAGGATGAGGATATGGAGAGTGAAGAGGACAAACAAGAAATGGAATCGCTTGAGTATGTACAGCAGTATGTACGCTCCTTAGAACCGGACAGAACAGTGGAGCTAGAGGTGAGGCTTGCACACCACAAACACCTCCGCAACCTTAGAACAACAACCAAAGTGGAAGACAACATAAGCATGGAGAACAGATTCGAGATCCTCAAGAAGGAAAGAGAGCTTAATGAGTTTTACGCAGCACAATACAGCATGAAAACAAAAATAGAGAAGAACAGAATCACGGTGGACACAAACAGCTATGAGCAAAGGTTCACCTGGCCCAAATCGTATGCTGAACCCGAAACAGAAAGGAGATCGAAGAAAAATAAGAAAGAAAATAAACAGGGATCCACAGGAGAACATCTCCAGAATACCTCCTTTCCAACGGCAGAGGATGAGTCCGTGGAGGACCTGAGAAGACATGCTGCAATCCTGGAGGCCCATGTAAATGTACTAAGGGATCAGAACAGGGAGCTGGACGATCAATGCATAACCCTCAAAGACGTAGCAGGGGGGGGTTACAAGGAAATAGAAGCTGCGGCCAAACTCTACGCACGTACCAGTCCGAGGCGAAGGACGATAATCCCGTACCGCTGGAACGACAACTTTGGAACCTGGGAAGTGGCCTATCACAAATCCAATGAACTGATCTCAGTACCAGATCAGGATTGCACACAGTACATCTTACGTGAACTCATATCAGACGGCATACCAACAGATATGAAGATCCTGGGGTCCAAAAAAGAGGGTATGGAAGAATGGAGGGACCAGGAGAATGAAATGCAAGTGGTGGATCTGCGTCCTTTATTGGTGGAGTTGGAAGAGTCGGATACACTCAAGGGAGATCTGTGTTGGGTCCCATGGCTAGCGGTGGAAGCCATGCCGTACGGCTTGTTAGGGGGAGAAGTAATAGCAGAAAGTGCTGCCCTCAGCAGCGCAATGATTACAGCGAATGGCCTGTTCACGCTGTCCCCCAAGCTCCTCAGGCCGAAACTGCAGGGAGCTACCTCAATTAGGAAGGACATAGCAAACACTGGCTCCTAGATATCATCTTTTCACACGGCTCAGGGGGATAGAACTAAGCTGCAACGATGGCGGATCAGGGAGAAGAGGGATTAGGACCCCGGATTCGCAGAAAATTTGGCCTTCGTAAGCCTGAGCCGGACCTTGCAATCATGTCATGGAACATTAATGGTTTGTCTTCCATACTTACCAATCAAAGTAAATGGGATTACCTGATCAAAGGTTCAAAATGGTTCGAGCGCTCCCCACCTGACCTGCTATGCATCCAGGAGACACATCTAACTATCTTAGAAGAACACCAAAAAACACAAGCACGAATAATAAGAAAACTGAAATGGGTTAAAGAAGTAATTTGGGCTCCGGCCCCCCGCCCCAATTCAGCAGGCGTGGCTATCTTTTTACATGCCAAATCTAGAGCATCAAACACAGTTATTAGGACCGAATCAAGCATAGATGAGGAAGAAGGTAGATGGGCGAGTATAGACTTTCAAATACATGAAGAAAAATTCCGGTTACTAACAGTCTATGCCCCAAATACTCTAACTCAACGAACTAGACTAATTGCAGACCTCCTTCCAAGGTGCGATTCCAACATCCAGTTAGTTTTGGCAGGGGACTGGAATGCGGCACTGGATCCAACCAGGGACCGCTTCTCAGGAGCAGTAACTAGAACATCACAAGCCGCGTGGAATGAAGCAATACCCATTCACGAGTTGATGATGGAAAAGGATCTGATAGACCCACTCGAAAGTCTATACCCAGACAACAAGGAATACTCTTACTTAAAAAGGAATAGAAGTCAGCACATATCTGCATCCAGAATCGATTCTTTTTTGATATCAGCATCGCTCACTGGCGCAATCCAGAACACGGAAATAGGAGAACTCCCACGCTACGCAGGCTTGGACCACAAACCAATCAGACTGTTTCTTAACCTAGGGACATCCCCCAACAGAGGGCGAAGTTTCTTCAAAATCAACAACTCACTGTTAGGAACAACAGAAATAAGGGACGCGGTTCTGTCCACATGTATTAACCACGACTACACTAACAAGGACTTCCCAGACTTGGTCATGGCACTAACAGAATCCACTGCTAGAGCCTCCAGAATAATTGCTTCTAAGAGAAAAGCAAGAGAAGAAGAATTACAACAGGCAATAAGGATAGCAGAAAGGAATCTCCTAAGAGACCCAAGGAATATTTTATACGAAAGAGTTTTTGAACAAGCCAGACAGGAGATGTCAGAATGGGAAGAATGGAGAAACAAGGGCTTAAGAATGAGAGCCYGAATGAAGGATTGGGAAGAAGGYGAAAAAATGACCAAATATTTTTTCAATAGAATCAAGACAAACGCWAGGAATGCAAACATAGTAAAGCTCCAAACGGAGCAGGGACTGACATCAAATCCCCAGCAGATGCTAGCAGCAGCAGCGGACTTCTTCCAAAACCTCTATACATCAAAAGAACAGAACTACTCACAAYAGGAAACCGCAAGTGCAAGAACCAAATTCCTGACCCATTTAGACAAAACCATCTCAACAGAACAGGCGTCGGCTTTGGATAAACCAATCTCAGAACGAGAGGTCTTTGAAGCACTGCAATCAATGAAACCAAACAAGACCCCAGGATTGGATGGGCTATCCAAGGAGTTCTGGGTCACCTTCTGGCCAGCTCTAGGCACATAATACATCCAATTCCTAGAGAAGGCATGGAACAGAGGCTCACTAGGGGAATTCCAAAGCACGGGAGTAGTATCCYTGATCTATAAGAAAGGCGRCCCAGCARATATCAGAAACTATAGACCGATCTCTTTGCTCCCAGTAACATATAAAATAATAGCTAAACTACTAGCCAACAGAATCAGAACAATCACTAGGAACTGCTTCCACATCGACCAGACAGGATTTATCCCAGGAAGATTCATCTTGGATAATGTAATGACCCTCAACGAATCAGTCAGATACATTCAGGATAAAAGAATGAACGCAGCCATATTATTCTTTGACTTCGAAAAAGCGTATGATCAGGTTAATTGGAACTTTTTACAACAATGTATGAAAAAGATGGGGGTAGGTCCGAACTTCAGAAAATGGGTCCAAGTCCTATACTCAGAAGCTCAGGGACGAGTACAGGTAAATGGACATCTGTCACAGCCATACCSAATGTCCCGTTCGGTAAGACAGGGGGACCCGCTAGCAGCCCCAATCTTTCTCTTCATTATGGAGGCAATTGCCTCCTTTCTAAGAAAAGATCCATCRATTGAAAKATTGGTAGATGACGGGCAACATCCAATCAATATACCCACTACCATCCTCTTCGCGGATGACTTGACTGTCTTAATAAGAGCATCAGACTCTTCCTTTCAAGCTCTCACTAGAGCCATGCAAGCTTTCTAAATCGCATCAGAAATGAGAATCAATTGGCCCAAAACAATAGGCTGGTGGCTAACAGACCCACAAATTAACCCCCCCCAAAGTACACTGGTAGGAATGAGCTGGTCACGTGGCAACGAACCTCTCAGATTCTTAGGAATCCAAGTTTCCAAACATGGCTCCAACCAAGCAATGGCCCCAGCTATAATGAATAAGATGATTACCAAAATGGGGAGCTGGTCCAATGTCTACACCTCAATATACGGCAGGGCATTGATCCTAAATGCATCAATCTTCGCAATGATGTGGTACGCAGCCACAATCTGGAGCCCAACTAAGCAGAGAAGAATACAACTAAGAAGAAGGGCAACTGCCTATTTGTGGACCGGTGATCCATCCAGGGTCAACTTCATCTCTAAAGTGGCATGGAAGTATGTCACTATGAAGAAATCGCAAGGGGGTTTCGGAATCCTGGACCCGGAAATTCAAATCAAAGCCTTTCGAACAAAGTGGATCATCAAAATGATAACTAATAACAATCTACCCTGGAACAAACTTGGCCTCCACAGAATACAACAAATAGCCAAATACAAAACCCCGGACAACATGCGTGGCCTCTTCTGGCTCATGAATAAATCCTGGGCGATGAAGGGTGGGGCGCAAACAGAACATCAAGGGAACCAGGGTGAAGAAGAGGGGGAGGACTTTTGGAGACAACTTCTGAAATTGTGGAGAGAGATCCTACCAGCCAAAGTAAGAGAACCAACAACTAAAGAGGAAGTCCTCAGACAACCAATCTTTTGTAACCAGGCCTTGCTAGACCCACAAGGGAAACCATGGACCCTAACCACAAAAGACACAAAGTGGGGCGCCTGGTTGGAAAAAGGAGTGTGGCAAGTCAAGCACCTGTGGCATGATGAGGACAAGAGATGGAAAACGGTAGGAGAGCTAAGAGAAATCCTGAGGGGATGCCACAATTTACAAGCAAATTTGAATGATATCTTAATATCAATACCACAAAATTGGCAAGAGCTACTAAAAGGCAGGG